ATATGTTGTAAGGAAGGAAATGTAGAGGTTACCTCTGATAGTTTGTAATGAAGGAAATACCACCCAAAGTAAAAGGAAAAGAGATTGACATATCCCATAATATGTTACCTAAGATTAGATAGGCTTTTAGAATTGTATCTTTGTTTACGTATAAAAATCTTTTGAACTTATCAAATCAATATTGTCTCTTTAAATAGTCTATGTACATTTTTCTTCATTGTGTTGGTTATTTTCATATCTCTAAATGAAATCTCTATTTCTCCAACAAAATCTTCATATCTTTCAACAAAATATTCATGCAAAATCTTTATGTATCCAACAAAATCTCTACATCTCTAAATAATGAGTTCTCTAAATATTCATCATGGTAATTTCTCCATTGATCCTCCATTGTTGTTAGCACAATTCTTACCTTGGCATTGCTTTAATGATCACCAAGCAACTTAAGTGAAAATGTTCTTTGTCCTAGGAGGAACAAATAAGATAATTGCCCTAACATGCTAGAACTCTCATCTATCATCATGCATGACACATTAACAAAAAATATCAAGCTATGTAGACAAGGGAATAAAAGCCACAAGAAAAAAAACATGACATGTATAAAATAATAAGTGTTTTATTTCCCTTTCATCTATTAATCAAGTATTTTAAGCGTATATGTTTCAAAGATTGGAGAGGGAGCCAAATGATGATACCATAAAAAAAAGGATAACTTGCTACCATTTGAGCCAAACTGATCAAATAGCAAAGATGATTGTTTGTTTAGGACAACCTAGCCTAAACGAACAAGCACGCCCTTTAGGCCCTTCACAATAAGTCGGCTTTTGTCCCAATCACCCTGACAGTGAATCCTAATCTCATGTAAATTTCTAAGAAGCCTAATAATTGACACATACACAATATTGCATTACTTACTCTAAGAAGTCAGCACAACATTGTAATCTTCTTTGCTTGCAGGCACATGTATTGCTAGTATGATGTCTGCCTTTCTCATCAGCGACGATTTACTTGTCTAAGCTCTTGTTCTCTTTGTCATGCTTGTCTTCCCTCGGATAATTTACTGTCTTAAACATTACAGAATCCTTCCATGTTTTTTCAAAGGAACGAGGAATAACCGACCTAAACATCTCAATCCAAAACGCAGCCGTAAAAAGACCCGAATCGATCTTAATTTTTTAGTACTTCATCACTGCCAACTGGTTTCTGTTGGCTGGCTCGAAACACCTCATCTGTTGATAGCACAAAATAGCATACCAATGTAAGTAAGGAATCATTCATGGCCGTCATTGAAAAAACACGAAGGAAAAGCTGAAATCATGAACATTATCGTTTATTAATTATTTGATTAAACGGTAAGACCAATACTTAGGACCGTGACTTGCAATGCATGCTTGGTAAGTGTCCAATTTCTGTCCTTTGCTTTGGCGATTTAAACAAATTATATATATATAAAAAAAAAGAGTTAAAAAGTTCGTTAATCCTGCAATGACATATTGACAAATTTTTGACTTGACTCAGTTAAAAACGCGTTCCTCAAAATCGCATCTACCACTGAAAATGACTTTCCCCTTTTTCTACACGCGCAACCAAACAGTCCCTTATATATCATTTTCCTAGCGTGTTTTTCTTTTCTCATTTATGGTGAGGGAGAGTGTTTACCAATGCACTGCCAACTGCAATCAGCCAAACATATTTTTTTTTGTTTGTTATTTTGATTTAATTATATTTTAAATTTTTTATTATTATTTTAATGTGTTAATATTAAAAATAAATTTTAAAAAATTAAAAAATATTTTATTGATATATTTCTAAAATAAAATTTTAAAAAGTAAATAATATTTATCACACTCTCAAATAATCATTAAAAATATGAATACAATAGGCTCTTTTTTTTTTCTTTTTCGTTTTGAACGAAAGAGAAGTTACAAGGATTGTTTATTTAATAGTACATTATAAAAGAAAAGGTAAAAAATTATACATTGCAAAATTTTTGGGAGCTATCAAATTATGAGATTAATTAAAAAACCAATAAAAATATGAAATTAATATAGGGACTATTGGTTTAATGTCATACAATTATTATTATTATTTTGTAAAAAAACACAAAGTTATTTTATTTTTTGTCTCCTAAAAAAATTAAACATTATTTTAGAATTAACTTAATAAATTCACAGTCCAAAACTTGAATTAGATCTAATAACCACCTAACCATCTCAATGATGAACGAACGCCAGCGATTCTAATACATGTAAGTGTAAACTGCAAAATATTATCTATATTATTTATTTAAAAAAAACCTAGAGATAAAATATTAAATTGGATATTAGAAATATTCAGATTTAACCTTTAAATGAAATGTTTCAAATATTTAATTATGAAGCAAGTTGTTGAAAGAGAAGTAATCGGGTAGATTTAACCTTTAAATGAAATGTTTCAATTTTTTTTTTTTTAATTAACGTGGGTGTCCGGGCCAGTTTACGCGCATCACGATTAATCTCACGAGTCCTGAAATTAATGATCATGTAAACCTCCAATGATCATATGAACAACCAAGGATTCAAACCTAAAATCATAAAGAGAACTAACTTTTTTTTTAATTTTAAATTTTTATTATTTAGCCACCATCTAGTTGAAATGTTTCAAATATTTAATTACCAAGCAAGTTGTTGAAAGAGAAGTAATCGGGGTCTTTCAGACACATTCGCGATGTCAGCATCTAAACTCCCTACATGTTTCGTTTTCATTGGCCCAGGCCTCGATCTCATGAATAATTCTGCGTCAAGAAAAGCAAAGAATATTCATCAAATTGACAGCCTCGGAAAAAACAAACGAACAATTCCATTGGTCATATTCATCGATTAATAAATAAATAAATACCCACTTACTCAGACGGTAATTAATTAAGACCAATAATAGAGACGGGCATGAGCGATATTAAACAAAAAGAATCAAATAAAAAAAATATATTTATGGGATTCTAATTGCTCAAGTGCCGGTTGTTAACAACTTAACTTGGTAAAATGAATGTTGAGAGATTTTTCCTTGTTTATCCAGATGAAACCGAGACAATCGATTCTAGTTGTAGAATCCGATCCTCGGCATATAAAAAGATTTGAGTCAACTGATTTTTTTTTTAATTTCCAACTTATTTTTTAATATTTGATTTAATTTTAAATTAATTTTTAAAATAAATTTCAATTTATTTTTTTATAAAATTATTGTAATTTCAGATAAATATCATGATATTTGATTGGTACTTAATTTTATAAATATATATTTTTTATCATATTATTAATTAAAAATTAGTTTTTAAAAAATAAAATTATTAAATTTAATGGAGTCCATGATCCGAGTTGTGGGTTTATCAAATTAAACTATGAAGTTCGGGTCAACTCAATAAATTATTGTTTTAATATTAAAATAAAAAATTGTTAGAAGTCAAATCATGTTTTTTTTAATTATCTATGTTATTTTTAGACCCATTAAATTAATTAAGTCATAACGAGATAATTATCATGCGTATTAATTTTAAATTTATGTTAGATAAAAAATTAAATTGAAAAATTTTAATATTATTTTATTAAATCAGGTTTAATAATAATATCAAGTAATTTTTTATGATTTTAAATCATTGTTTTTAACATTTTTTTTTTAATTCGACTCATAATATCATATCCATCAATAGTCTAATTATTTTATAAAAAAATTAGAGGTGACAAAGTACAGATAAAATAAGATATTCCCTTTATCGTATCTCTCTCTCGTTGGAACAAAAGTTCCTTTTATGCTTTCTGAAGGGGCAAAAACATAAAAATAAAAATCCTTCTATGCATTTTCATTCAAGTCCGAAAAAGAAATCAAATTGAAAGACTTTTCGAATTCCGATTCAGATGAAAAGCAATAAATAAAAAACAAAGAGAATTGCTTTCAATTTTAATGGAAGAGGAAAAATATATTAATTAGCCAGATACATGTTTAATTTAGAAGGCATTAATTATGAACAAATTTTAAATTAGAAGAAAAAATTAAAAAAAAATCAAATCATCATCACGACATAACTTTATGCACATTATTTCTTTTTTAAACATGAAATACATATAAAAAACATAAACCAGAATTCCTTTCACAATGAAGATATAATTGTTCTTATTAAAAATGAAAGGTAGACATTTTTAAGAAAAAGGACAAATACAATATTACCTAATAAACTAAAAAATCAACAAAATACTATAGGTGTTTTTACTGTTCATATACACACATACATCATTTATTCATAACATTGTTCATTGGACAATTGTTTTTCTAGGTCCCTCAAGTTCTTACTTCTTTCTTCTTTAGTCATTGAACTTTTTTTTTTATTTTGTCCTCAAAACTTATATTGTTATGGTTTTATATTTTGCTATTTGTTTTGGTTTACATGCTCTCACGTAGACTATATGCTAAGAATATTCTAAAAAATAAAATATTGATTAATTTTACAAAATAAAATTTTAGGTTATTGTTAAGAAAATAAAAGAAAAGGAATCAAAACCAACATAAATAAAAAAGCCTTTTTTCATCTGTACTGTTTAAAAGTGATGAAAGCGTTAGGTTGATGCATTAATTTTTATTTTTTTCATATAAAAAATAAAATGATGAAATATAAAAAAAATAAAATAATATTATTTTTAGAAATATATAAAAATTAAAATAATATTATTTTTTGAAAAATTAATAAACTCGAATTAATCTAATGAATCACAAATTTACGAATGACCTATGTTTTTTTTTTTTTTTCATGCAAGACTGCAGTCTAGAAACTGCGATTTAGACTACTTAAAATATATTAATTTCCTTTTTCTACACCTTCTTGTTTGTATAAAACACATTGCCAAACAGTTCCTTACCTGTCCCTCCCATACCCATTGTCAATCCGTATGATTCTTTCGTTATATGGCACACCCATTGTCGTATCTTTCCTCGTAATAACAATCCGTATGATTCTTTCGTTATATGGCATCACATGATCTTTCTGAAACCAGAAACCACATTACCTAATTCTTAACCCCCCCGGCCACAGGTCTCCTCCCCTTGAAGACAAAATACAGAAAAACTACCCTGATGGCAAGGTGTTTTAGTTTTGCAGCAACACAAGATTCATGCTACCGGTACTCCTTCACTCGATCAGGCCTCAAATCATCCACAACCGACCTCGGCGAGGGCACGATCATGCACTGTTGGATCCCAAAGAAACACGACCCATCAAAAGCTACGTTACTACTGATCCATGGTTTCGGTGCCAACGCAATGTGGCAATTCCACGGTCTGATCCCTAAGTTCATCTCCAAATTCAACATCTACGTACCCGATCTCCTATTCTTCGGGGAATCCTACACCGCACGAGCCGAAAGGTCCGAGGCATTCCAGGCACAATGCGTTATTGGTGTCATGGAAGCTCACAAGGTGACCAAGATGGATGTGCTTGGGCTGAGTTATGGCGGGTTTGTTGCGTATAGTATCGCGGCACAGTTTAAAACGCGCGTGGCGCGCTTGGCCATAGGATGCGCCGGAGTTTGTTTTGAAGAGAAGGATTTGGAGGAAGGAGGAGTGTTCAAGGAGGTGACAACTGTGGAGGAAGCTGTAGAGCTTTTGATACCACAGACACCCGAAAAAATTAGGGAGATGATGAGGCTGTCGTTTTATAAACAACCACGTAGTCTGCCTTCTTGTTTTCTCCAAGATTTTATTGAGGTTAGTTTCGAGAGTCCATTGCCCCCTCAAAGCTTGCTTGCTTTCTTGCTTCTCAATAAGATCAATCAATACGTTTTTTTTTTTTTTTTTTTTTTTGCTTCTCAATAAGAGCAATCAGAAGGGTTTTTTTTTTTTTTTGTGATGACTTTGAAGAATCTTTAAGACAGACATTGCAATGCATTTTTCTGAAATTTAATATGTTTTATTTTGTTACAAAATAAGGAAAATCAAACTCCAAAAAGATACCATACCATTTGAACTATAATTCATTTGGACTTAATTGTTCATTGATTTAACAAGACACTCAATCCAATTCGGTGACAAATGAAGTTCCCACGTTTGGTGACCAAAAGGCGCTTTAATTTGTGACAAAAAGGAATTGCCAATAGTTAGCAATTTGTTTTGTTTTCTCTTTGAGTGTGCACATATAGTTAATAGTCATAATTCTTTTTTTTTTAAAGAAAAATCATTAATATAGGATATGAGCAGAGGAACCATTTCAGTATTGTATAATTGTCGATGCTTGAATAGGGGAGACGTTAATGGATATAGCTGGGTAGAACTTGGTTTTATAATTGTGTCCAATCTAATATTCTTAATATTTTACTGGTTGAATTTATCAAGTTAAACTGAATTTTTTTTATATATTATAAATATACATGAGTTAGGTTTATATTACTAATTTTTAAGGATTTGTATTTAAAAACAAACCTATAACATAAATAATAAGTGCTATGATACCCCTACTATTAATTTTCATATCTTGCATCGCTATTAAATTCTAGTTATTTTTTTTTTGAACAAAGAGATGAACCATTTTAAGTTATGTTAAAGAAATATAATAGAAACTCCACTAAAAAAATTTTTAGAGTTCGAATAATTCAAAATAAAATAAAAATAAATACTTAATTTATAAACTATCAAATATAAAGATAAAAAAGTATATGATATACAAGTTGATCGAGTTTTAAAAATCTTAACCTATGATATCTATTTTTTACATTTTTTGACTCACTGTTATCTGTAATATTTATATTATCTGACTTTAATGAATTGAGTCAAGTCAAATAATATAAATATTATAAATGAGCTAGATTTTTTGAACATCCTTATTTCCAGTCTTAATTTATTTATAATGGCATGTAAAAGTGTTATGCTTTTACTTTGAGATGAAAAAAAAAAGTGTATTTTTAATTTCTGTAGTGATTTAGAAAGGAATTAGATTATTTGTTTATGCTATCCTACAAGTTAGATTATTTTTTTTTAAAGTAAAAAAATATTTAGGTGCTACTTATGTCTTTTTTAATAGGAAAAAATTAAACTATGTTGGGATTGATCTAATATGAATTAGTCAATTTAAAAAGTCCAAAAATAACTCGAATAATTGTTAAAAATATAGTTTGACTAAAAACAATTTTCAAATTCACTATTCAAATTATGAAACTATGATAATCTCATAAAAAATAAATCATAATAAATTATAAAATATAATTTTTAATCAATCTAATATTGAATGATGAAATTAAAAAAAAATAATTAAAAAAAGAATCATAATACAAATAAATCAAGTCAACCCGGGATAACTTGTCAAACTCGTAACCCAATTTATGCAACTAATATAATTTCATAGAAAGTAAATCAAAACAAATTATTAAACTCAATTCTCAATCAATCTAATGTGAAAGGATGAAATTAAAAAAAAATCAATTAAATAAAAAATACAAAATTAAAGGATAAAATTGGAGGGAAACTCAACTCAAAGAGGAAAAAAAAACCCTACGTTAATCTGTCAAATTTACAACTCAGATTATGAGACTACAATAAAAAAATTATTGAAGAAAAAAATTAAAAGAAAAAAAAAATTTAAATCTTAAAAAACTGAAAAAAGAAAAACAAGAAAACAAATACTGTTTGTGTGTTTGTGAGGAGGGGAATAATGAATTTCCCTCCTCATTTAGTGCGGTTAATAATAATAATGATCATGATTGTTAGATCTTGATTCAAGTTGTTTAATTACCCCCAAGTTCTGTTGCCGTACACATTTTAGTATGCTCTGCCTTTTGACGGTCTCTGAGAATTGAATGACCCATGCAGAAGGTGATTTGAATGTTATGAACTTTAGACAGCAAGAGGTTGCATAACAGGAATAAAATGGAGATGAAAAGAGGAAGAAAAATAGTGGGGAAAAAGCTTGTGTATTTGGCAAGGGAAATCTGAAAAATGATATGCCCATTTGAATATCCCGCTCAGGATCAACTTTGAATGCAAGATCAACCAGTTATGTTCTTTAACTAATTGCACGTCCATAAAGCTGAAACAGCTAGATCAAATACTTGAAAAAGGAGGCAGATATTATATCATTTTCGGGAAAGAAGTGAAATGAAAGTGTATTTTGAGATGGCTACAACATAAACAGACTGCCTGATTGCGAACTCTCTGTGTGTGTTTGTGTGTGTGTAATTATGATGTCCGAGAAGCCAAAAGTACAGAGGTGATGGTCTGGAAGAGTAGTCCTACGGCGTTCCTATCAGCAAATTGCAAGTAGGGTGTAAGAGCAAGGGCTTTGAGATATCATAGTAATTGGCCTGAGCTAGTTATGATTTAGAAGTTGATAAGAATTGCAGGTTTTAGTAATTTTGACATGGTAATTCATCTTGTCTAGTGGTTTCTACATATTTTTTATCTTCCACTTGCCCCTCGTCTTAGCCATCATCTGATTTTCACTTTGGGAACAGGTAATGTGTACTAAATTCTGTCAAGAGAAGAAAGAACTAATCCAGGCATTACACAGGGACAGAAAGATGTCTGATCTTCCCAGGATAACTCAGGTACTGTAATCAAAACTTCTTTCTGTTTCCAATATTTTGTGTATATATTTTCCGGTCAGATTTAGCTTTTCTTTCTCCTTGAGCACCTTCTAAACGCTGTATTTCTCCTTTATGCAGCCTACACTCATAATCTGGGGAGAACATGACCAGGTTTTCCCACTGGAATTGGCACACAGACTAGAAAGGTAATTCTTAAGAACATATTCTGCTCAGTGTCCTTTTCAAGCTTCGATTTCTATCTAATAGGAAAGAACATCAAAGCATCTACTTTTGAAACAAGCTCGGAACCTACTGTACCTCCTAACCTTCTTGATATGCTCATCTTTTCAGCAGCCAATTGGGATTTTGGTAATTAGTAATTGCGTGAGTTGATGCAAGAGTAAGTTAATGATTCTTCTTCTTTTACCTGCGCAGGCATATCGGTGATAATGCCGAACTAGTGATAATAAAGAATGTGGGTCATGCACTTAATGCAGAGAGGCCCAAGGAGCTCTACAGGCACTTGAAGTCCTTCTTCGTTGACAATCTTCCTTCATCAAAGCACGCAAGCCATACCAACAGCTTATCTGCTGATGAGGAGAATTCAGGACTTTCTGATTCTCCATTTAGACTACAACTTGCGTGTGCTATAGTCATTTCGAAGCTTAGAAAGGTGCGTATTTAATTATTGGGGGTTGAGAAAGTTAGATCAACGCAAGAAATACGAGCTCTGATCCCCTCATCTCCATGGAAATTGGTTAGGTTACCCTGGAAATCGGTTAGGTTACCCTGGAAATCTGTTTCCTTGTAAGGTGACCCCAACAAAAAATTTGCATGGCAATAGCTGGAGAGATTTTTCGGTGGTTCCTCAATACTTTCCTCTCGGTGACAGCCTTTTGGAACCTCCTCTGTATCTCTGTTTCTTCTTGTACAATTAATATATAATATTATATAATTAAAGTTCATCCGATGAAAGCTGAAGTGCCCTTTTCCTGTACCACCATAAGTATGGATGTTGAACTCACAGTCCTTTGCTCGCTTCATATCAAAACCTTTTGGAAGTTGTTTGAATGTGCTAGAAACTAGAAACAAATAATGGGATATCAATTTACAAGTTTTTTTTTTATATATTTAAAATTATAATTAAACAATCAATAAATAAAAAGCAACAATCACACAAATCAACATCAAGATTTTTACGTGGAAAATCCGATACAGGAAAAATCACAAGACTGTAATCTACCTAAAAACTTCAACTATCAACAAATAATGGGTTTACACAGTTTTTTCTTAAATTCAACTAAATGTTACAACATATATATTATTAAGAACAATGTATTCTTGTAATACAATAAGATTAAAAAAGCAGTATTTGAGAAAAATTCACAATACTGACAGTTTTATTTTCTGTCAAAACGATCAACTTTCACACTATCAATCTTCGATCTATCCGTTTAAAATAAAGAGTAACATGTCTAAAAACTTATATCAAAATCTCAACTCGATTTAACGGTGAACGAGCTAGAAATCAAGAACAAAAAACAGACTGTTCTGCTACCTTTTTTTTCTTTTTTTTCTTCCTTTTCTCTTACTCTCTTTTGTATAATAATGCTACTGTGTTAATATTATGTTTTTAATTCTAATAAATAGATGTTGTCTCTTGATAATTAATATAGTAGTCTCGTCATCACGTAATACGGGATTATAGATAAAAAAAATAACGAGGAAATTGTATAAAATTGCAATTTGAGTAAGTTGAAAAAGAGTGAATGCAAATTTTATTAGAAAGAAAGTACGGTAGATGAAAACAACTTCAAGAGGGATTTAGAAACCACAACCATTGCTACGAACATACAGGTCTTGCTAACGCACATGGAAAGTGTAGTATTCATAAATGACTTAGATTCCAGGCCTTCCCATCTTTATTCCTTGTACTATTTCTCTCGAATTTGACAAATAAGACCTACTTTTGACCACTTTTCAACTTTCCATTGCCAAAACAAAGGTCTTTGTTAATTAGAATGAGACCTCAGATCACTGCACAAAGAACAGTCTCACTTAACTGCGAGCTGTTCTCTTTCTCAAGCTGCTCCAACGAAAACTAGACCACCCAGAAACCCCATCCACAGCTTCCCTGTAAAATCAGTGAGCAATAAATTGAGATTCACACTAAGAATCTATATACAGGCAAAAGATGCATTTATAATTAGCACTTTGGCTATTCCCCACTTTCACAGACAAGGGCTTGAATCTGATTCCTTAACCTGGGATAGAAAAAGTAAAACATATCGAGTCCTTGACCCTGCGTTGCAGGATTGCACTGGATTACACCTTCGTACACAATCAGTGCTCAAGGCTTCAGCTTTGCATTTTCTTTTTATGGTTTACAATAAAAATGTCTTCGAACTTTTCACTTTTGCAAATTTGTCCTTTTTTCCTACGAGAAAGGATGCCCCTTTATACTCCATGACAAATAACATTTGGCATATTCCTCTCCATTAAGTAAAAAAAAGAAGAAAGTAGGTTTGCAAAACCATTGTCTACCAATTTCATGCATGTAAAGGTATCTGATTCTTATCTATCCATCATTAGCACTTTAGCAGATCATAGACTCATGATAATTCAGCAAAAGTAAAAAAGGAAAAGATCAAAACTTAACGACTAATTAAGGTTGATAATATCTCAAATCTTGAAAGGAGAAACATAAGGATTAAAAATAAAAGAAATTAAGACTTACTGGAGGGTAAAGAAACTGAGTTCCAAGCCAGTTCAGGTTGATTCTGCAGACTGCGGGTATTGCAATCCATAGTGGTATTGATTGTATCACTGCACACACACACAAAGGAATTGACAGGAGGAGCATAACCACATACACCACCACTGATCTCACAAGTGTTGCACTTATTATCTACGTAATAATCATCCAAAGCTCCGCCTCTGCTCTTCAATTCCACCCCATATTGCCACTGGGAAGGGTCGGTAGGGTGTTCCTGAAGGGACACTACTGAAGCATACCCCATGCAATTCAACTTTTGGAGATCAAGCTCACCTTTGCTATTAAAATTAGCAGGAGAATACACACAACACGTGTTTGTAGGTGGAAAAAGAGGCAAGCCGAGGCCAATCACAGATGGACAAGTGTAAATCGACGCACAGAGATAAGAGGAGGTGTCACAAACAGGTGAGCCCTTGATGTTAAGAGATGAAGTTGGGGGTGTGCATAAGAGGAGAAGGAAAGTTGATGAGCCAAGCTGGAATGGACTTGCCCAATCTAGGCCTAAGTTGGGGGATTGTTGCATGGAGGTGCATGTGGACATGTGTGGTGGGGTGATGATAAAGGTGGAGGTGGTGTAGGATATGGAAGTGATAGGATAAGAACCTGTGTGAGTTGTGAGGAGGAGCTGGTCTCCCTCAGGTGAACATGCTATGTAGGGATGGAACCCGGGGGAGCCGCAACCGTGGCCACTGCCAAAGGGGTACTTGACCTGTATGGAGCCACATGTGGTGCGGCATGGTAGGTCCTGGGCTGATGTTTGCCATAGTATGGACTGGGTGACATAACAGAAGAGAAGGATGATGATGATGTTGAAGGATGGAAGATTTTCCATGGACAAGTTGATGTGTCGGTCAGGGGAAAGATTAGACAGGGGAAGGGAAGAGGAACTAAGCCGTTCTTATATAGTTTAGAGGGTTTTTTGTATCTTCCGTTATTGACAAAAACACTTGTGTCCTTGCATCTGATGCAGATGTGGTCGTGGTTATTTTAGGGCATTTAAGCCAATTCAATCCCGGTTGGTTGTTTTGAAAGCACTAATTCAGAAAATTTTGATTTCCGGGGTGGAATACAAACTTCTCCTCACAAGTTCTGTTTTTTTTTTTTTAAATTAACGTGGATGTCCGGACCAGCTTGCGTGCACCACGACTAATCCCACGGGCCCTGAAGTTAACGACCATGTAAACCTCCAGTGGCCATCATATAAGCAACCAAAGATTCGAATCTGAGACCATAGAGGGAGCAAACCTCTTAATCCCAAGTCCTTACCACTTGGCCACCACCTAGATGGTTCACAAGTTCTGTTCTTTGTATGTATGGATAGGAGGATCCTGAAGCCTAAAGCACAAAACAACGTGCTTCATATAAATCTTAAATATTTAATATATGATTGTTGGGATCAATATCTTTTATTATTATTTTTCCCTTTTTTATTTTTGGTTTTGATCCATGATGATTTTTTTTAACAAAAAAAAATTATAATGTTAAGTTGAAGCTCAATTTTACATATTTACTTACAAATAATTAAAACTTTAGGGGTTAAATAAAAAATTCAAACAAAAATACATTGCATTGATAAGAATCAATTAACTATACCAAAGAATTCATTACAGGTACCAATTAAACCAGTTACAAGGTCAATGATCAAGAAACTTAAAAACATTCAAGAATATTTGAGTCAAGTCAGCCTTTTAATTTCAATAAAAAATGACCGAGCTTTAATTGATGTGATCCATGCATGAGTTTGACAAGTTTTAGTTGATTTTAGGCTTTAATTTTTTTATTGCAGAGATGTATGCTAAACAAACATAACTTTTTATCTAATTGTTAAATTGAGTTGAATTTTTTTCAAATGCTTTCTAAGATATTTTTTTGTATAGAATTAAAATTTTATAGCAATTATATGTCCAAAAAGATTTGTAATAAGGTTCAAAAGCTATTGTATAATAATTGTATTACTTTCATAGTTAGTTTAGCATTTTTTTCTATTTGAATTAGTACTCTTTAATTATTTTTCTAGTCTTGTTTATGATTTTTTACTTAGTATAAATATGGTTTTTTAGCTTTTAGTTATGTTTTTTTTTTATATAGTCTTTGATATCAGAATAATATTTTGTGAGTGAGAGTTTGTTCATACTTTATATTCTTCATTGAAATTTTCTTAAACTTATCAAAAATCAATTATCTTTATAGCGTTCTTCTTATACTTCCAATTTATGGTTCATTATAATCATAAGGTTGAGGTCTTTTTATCTAATAACTTTGGTGCCTTAGTTCACATAACTATTATGTCGGGTTTTTTATATCATAATTTAATTTATCTTTCTTGGATTGTTCTTGCTTTCTTACATATAGGTTCCAATGTTATTATCCTTCAGATTTATATTAGTCGGTGTCAGAATAAGGTTCTAAAATTAGGTTTTATCTATCTATTTATCTTTAAACTTTATGTGTTATTTGTTCGTTGTTTTTCAGTCTTGATTTTTATAGCAATAGTAAAAAACAAAAAAAAAAGGTTTTTGTTCAAAAACCCACCTTCAAATCTATATAATAATAATAATAATAAAAAGAAGTCAAAATTATAAGTTGTCTATTCTGACGCTAATTGGGTTTATTAAAAATAAATAAATTTAAGACTTATAAAAAACACTTCAGTTCATATCAAATCATGATTATTGTTAGTTTAGTACTGATTTCAGGTTATTTGAGTATATTCCATATCGGAAAGGAGCATCCAGAGCCAGAGCTTTATACGTAGTGCTAGTTGCTGAACTGTTGTACTTGTTTTGGGGCATTAGGTGCAGAAGTGGGCTCGCTTCACAAGGAACAAAACTGTGAGAGCGGTAAGGCCTCAAGCAGATAATATATGATAGGTTGGGCCGAGCTATTATATTTGATATCAGAGCCAAGGCTGGCTTGTCTTAATATAGAAGGATTGTGATATCCCACATCAGAAACGAGTGTTCAGAGTAAAGGCTTTATAAGTAGTGCTGGTTGCTAACTTGTTAAA